TGAAAGTTTAAGTTACCATTCTCGTGAAGAGCAGGTTGCACTCTGCTAGTGGAGGAGGGCGGGGCACGTGAACTGCAACATCTCCAGCAGCACGGAGCTGCCCGTGGCCGCCTGTCTATAAATAACGGCGGGAAAAAAAAAACTATCGGCGAACGCGCAGCGGTGTATCGGCCGATTCCGATACACGTAAAAACCTCAAATATCGGCCCGATATATCGGCCGGCCGATATATCGGTCGATCACTAGTTACAAACCATCACATTGGAATCACCCCTCCTCAGATATTTTCATATTTTAAAGAGAAGAACCTGTTTTAGTCAAAATATAAATTGGTTTTCTCTTGGTTTAGAATGGCACTCATTGAATAATATCTTAGAAGGTGATTTCTAATTTTGTGGAGATCATGATTTTTGTCAGTATGTTTACCTTTGTCTTAAAATGCTGGAATTGAGTACATGTACATCCATGTGTTTAATACATCCAGCTCTCCATGTTGTTTCGTTAATACCATATGCTTGCATTATGTCTGCTGGAAATCAAAGTATTGAGCCCTATTCATGTGGTATTGTTTTGCACCTTAACCGTTTCCTTAACATGTAGAGCAACATCATATATGCACATTTTTAAGACTCATCAATATCAGCGTAAAAACGTAGACGCATGATATGTTCAAGTTCAACTCTCGTTTTTTTTTTCTTGCTCTAAACAGCACACATGTTTGTTTTGGTCATGGTGACCTTATCCCAGTGCACCGTGATCTTTTCATGTTGTTAAAGCTAATAGATGTCACTTATTTTTACAACCTGCAGCATTTAAAATAAGTACACTAGGTTCTCGCTAGGTGTTCATATATCTCAATTGGCAGTCCATGATGCTTGCCAGGGTCATGAGTTTGAATTAGAGGGAACACTTTGAATGTGTATCTTGATGTACTGCTTTGAATAAAAGTGTCTGCAAATAAATAATGCAAATGTTGCCTAAATGTTCTGTGTAAGCTAACTTCCTTGTAGCTTTGAGGGCAAAAAAGTTGACCGGACAAATGTCAATATTAAAATTATATATTGAGTTGAGTCACTATGTTGGAGGCACATGTTAGCTTTGATTGCTCATCTTATACAAAGCCCTAGGACATCTTTGAAGAAATGTGACGCTGGTTGTCAGTTTGCCAAACACAAGAGGAAAAGTTTGAAATCGCATCGCAAAGTCATATTGTGTTATTTGCCCTTTGTTTTTGAATGTCATAGATTTACACCAGATGTTTAGTGTGTAAAACCATCAGTATGTGGCTGAAAAGTAAGTAAATGTTGCACAATGAGGTGATCCTCTTCAAATTTTGTTTTAATTATACTCTGAGTAAATTCTGGGTATGGCATTCAAGGTTCTGGAATGTGTGTATGATTATTTTCTCACAGCTAATGATTTAATCCAGTTGTAAAATGCGAGACCTTTCTGTTTCCGGGTAGCTAGGATGCTCATGTTTCAAAACAAGTTCCCAGTTATCTTTAACTCCCGACCCTCTTCGTTTCGGATCGGGACTAAATTTAATAGGTGACAGCTGGCAGAGGTATATTTAGAACACAGGTGGCCATGAGAGCCTTAGTGCCCTGCAATTCCTCTCCAGTCAAGTGCTGAACCGAGGCAGAACAAAGCCAGCCCAGTCCTCAACGCACATTCACCTGTCAAATACAGGTTCAGTAGTGCCAATAGGAAAACACCTGCAAACCTGTTCATTCAACTAACACCTCCTGTACTGTTTGATTAGTTGCCCTGTCAAATGTTTATAACCCCATCTCCTAAAGGAATCCCAAAATATATGAGTGTGGGAGTGTCAATGCCTAGTTATTTTGAAGAATTATGCAATCTTAAACAGCTTTAAAAGATCCTATTGAAATTTCCATTAGGCAAAACTAATGATGACCTCAGCAATCGAGAAATGCTGCCAGTGTGGCATTTGCTGGGCATTGGCATTAGCAGAGCATGCCAGGGGAGCCCTTTCACAGGGGTTACTTGAGCACAGCTGAGTGGGGAGGAGGGTGAGTTTTCCATATCACATCTGACCTTCAATAAATGTTGACCTCATTTAGCAGCTAAAGTTCCAGAAGTTTCCTAAAAACTCAAGTTAATTAGAACCCTGATATTTCTAGGAAATCTGACTATCTGAGACTGAGACTCTTAGTGTTTGGTTTAGTTCAGGTTAAGAACAGCCTGCTGGGTAAACAATCGGTGGAGGATTCTAGAGCGCTATATTTCTAGATTGTTCACTGTTAGCTGTGATTTGAGCTTCTTATCAACATGGATAATACCATAATGGAATACCCTAATTTTTTATTTATTTATTTTTTTTCAAATATTAATGCGGTGAGGGGGGGCACACTAAGGTCTTCTATGGTACTGTCTACTTAGGCCCAGTTTTGTGTAATTCTTGGTGTGTAGGCATTTAGTAGTACTATTTATTTATTTATTAATTTTTAAGTTTGTTATTTGTTTAGTGTCAGAAAACTTTGTTTGGACTTGGGAGTGGCTACAGAAAAAAAGAGACTGCAACCGGACTCATGCGAAAACAAGGATGCATATCGAAAGGACATTACATGTAGTCACGCAATGCTTGCTTGCGTTAACATTAACAATTTGAGAACGAAGTATAATTTGCACGGTTTTGCGTTGATATGATAACTTATAAGTGATTGTTAGATTTAATCAGCATGATTTACTGCAATGTCAGATGTGCCAGAACAAAAGTCGATTTTTCTTACTTGTTCAGATGACATTTTCAGGTGAAAATTCTTATGTTGGTGGTCATACTTCCAAAAAGAATAATCTGTGATTCTGAATGACAGTATCCACACCGGCACGGTGACTGACAACCTCAGTCTCCTCAAACTCCTCAAACATTGTGTTCATCCGTGTTTTTTAATAAAAAAAAAATTATAATTTGGTTTTCATTTTCATTTCATTCTAATATTAATTTATTCTAATATTTAATTCAGGATTTTTTTTCAATTATTAAAAATTGCTTAATTCCAGGATAAATATATTTTTTAATCATTCCAAAATGTTAAATTTCCAAATTAATTATTTTTAAATTGTTAGAATGTTAAATGTGCTTCCTTAGCTTTGACCATATTCATTACAGCATGTTCATACATAGTGCCTTATTTTTGCTTAAATAGATTTCTGTATTAGTTTTTTCACCCTGATTCTAGTCTGCGCTTTCTGCCTTGACGAGAGTTCTGGCCCAGATGAGTCATGCATTGTGTTTGTTGTTTGATTACTTGGAACATGTGCCCTTGATGATGTCATTTTCATTTAATCCTTCAATTAATTGGCCTTTTTGAAGTCAAGCCAGGACTTCTGGGAAAGAAGACTTTGCTGGGTGCCTATTGTGTAAACCTGTTTACAAACAAGCCTTGTTGATCACCAAGTCTGGTTAATTCAGAAGCTATAAGGTTCAGTTTGTATTTATTACATAGGGCTTGGAAACTTTTGGTACCTCAAGATTCGATTAAAACTTTTGCTAATATAAAACTGGTAAATGACATTTAAATAAATAAACTATATGACAAAAAAAAAAATACAAATTAAATAAACCAAGTTTTTCTAAGTAGCCTAGTTTTATTTAACATGTATTAAGAAATAATATAGAAATTAAATAATCAAATGTTAAAATGAAATATATGAATTAAATATAAATAAGCCAAATTCATAATAAAGATACAAAAAAGGGATTATCTGCTTTTTCAAGGATTGACGCAAAGTTTAAGAAATGTACTTTAGAATATCGATTGTTGAAATGTGAATTGATGCAAATTGGCAGAGTATTAGCATCATGATTCATATGTGAATTTAGTTTTTCCCCCAAACACATGTTGTGGGGACCCTATTGGAATTTCTCCGTTTTTTTAGTTTGTTTCCCTTTTTCTCTACCCATGTTTTGTCTTCTAAACTTCTCTTTGGCTAGACGCATAAATACCGATGGCATCTTGAAAACTAAAAAGGAACAAAAATAAAGCGTGCCACTGCCAGCAGTAAAGATTAGTGAACATTCTTGGTTGGAGTGATGTATATTTCCCTCAGAGCCAACAGAGCACCTGAAAACACACTGCACTACTGGGCAAAGAGATCTATCCAACCTTCCAGCTTTATGTAAAAGGATTTGGCTCAAGATGTGCTAAGCCCTCAACAAGAGTAGCAGGGTAACTATAGGGGTGGCAGTCTGTCTGTTTTCTTATCTGTTAAGTCCTACGTGATTTACATGGTTTAGGCATCAAAATGATATAACCTCATGAAGAAATAAGTGGCTGTCTAATTTTGTGGTTTCCTCTCCACTTTTGAGCAAATCTGTGTAGGACCTGTTTCTGTAGGACCCTTTTCTTTCAACTCTATGAATTCCACCATTTTTTCTCCTATCAAAATATAGCCCAACCTATATAGAGACCTTATATTTACGGGGACAGTTCACCTAAGAATGATAATTCTGTAATTTACTCACCCTCATGTCATTGACTTCTGTGGAACACAAAAGTTTATTTTGAAGAATGTATTGGACCCCATGGACTTTCATTGTATTGATTTTGTATTGATAGTCCTCAAAATAAAGTCAGTTAAATGGTTTTGAAATGACATGAGGGTGCATAGATTATGATATTTGAATTTCCGGGTGAATTATTCAAATTATTCATTATTCTTTACAGGCTGCCATTTTATATATTCTTTCCTCAGTCATGTTGTGAAAATATTATTAAATTAACTGGGCCGAACATGGAATTATGTGAGTTTTAAACAGCTTACAATCAAGTTACCTCAAGTTGTTGCTGCAGGGAACAAAATGTGTATAATACCTCAAAGCCTATGGCAAAACATAAACAAAGCGTGTGTACGTGGTTCTACCTATTAGGTTCATTGGCCATGCTATTTTTAATATTGTGATGGAAAGAAAGAGGTGGGGGGTGGACCTGTTCACTGCTCCCCCTAAGAGCATTACGAGTGCGTTTGTTTATGACATTAGCAGAGTGTGCTGTCACTGTCATATGGCAAGCCAAGGCAGCCTCGACTGGTTTAGAACAGAGACGGTTATCACGGATTGCAACTGTTCACTCTCCGCTGTTCCCACCAGAGCCCTGGGCTTAATCCCGAGCAGAACGCAGCCTGTCACAGAGGTAAGGGGGAAACAACTCTCACGAGTCATGGGGGAGATCAGACAGAACCGTTCCGCATGATTTTCTCACGCGTGTTATTGGGGGGAAAGAATGTAACTGAGGTTTCTTGGTGTTTTACTTCTCTTTTGAACTCAGTTGTGATCCTTTTGAATTTCAGATGGTTGTTCTGTCTTTAAAATGTTCTCTGTCGTTGTTTGAGAAGTTGGCATGGTGAGCACTGTATGTGCCGCTGTCAAACTGTTTATTTTGTGTAATTTTGAGTTGGTGTTCTGTCACTCCGTTTAATTTTTAATGAGATCTTTCACCCAAAATTGTCATCATATACTCGCCCTCATGCAGTTCCAAACATGTTTGATTTTATTAAAATAAATATTGTTAAAAGACTTCTGACATTTTTTTTGTTGCTTTTTTTTGAACATTTTATAAAAAGGGAATAGTGCCGAGATATTTTGAATAAATGATAATGATTCTAATTAAATTATGTACATAATCATAAATTGTGATTTACAAGTATATATTAGTTAACTGTTTGTCCATTTAAATCCTAAATCCATTACCTTAAATGTATTTCTTTTTTTGCTTTCGTTTCTACATTTCCGTTGTTTCTACGTTTTCTTTGAAACCTTTCTTCAAATGTGCCAGATTCAGGAACTTCTATGGCTTTGTCTGATATATTACATAATTGTGTTATTTTAACCTATTTGTCCATTTAAATATCCTGGACCGTTGCTTTATTTAACTTCTATATTTACATAATTTACTTTTTTTTATCATTTATTCTTTGAAACTTGTTTTGGAGTTGCCTATATTATATTATGTTCACAAAAGTCATTTAACCCTAATTGATGGAGTGTGTAGCTTTGCATTTCTTAAACAACCATGCAGGAAGACATGTCATGGCCATATTCCAGGATGACACTGTCAAGATTCATCAGGCTCAAATTGTGAAGCAGTGGTTGGGAGGGAGCATGAAGAATCATTTTCACACATGAATTGGCACCTTTGAGTTGATGAATTTTCACCTTAAATTCATTGAAAGTCCTTGGGCTGTGCTGGAGTAGACTATACAGAGTGCTTGGCTCTTCCATTGTCAATACAAAATCTTAAGATATAATATACAAAATCTAATATATATAATACACTGTACTCTTGCATTGTCAATACAAACTCTTGATAAAAAATGGATGCACCTTTATAGCAATTTTTGATCATGTCCGGTTGTTGCATGGTTCGTCTCTTTGTTGGGGCAGTTAGCAAACAGTGTTGCATTACCGTTCATTGTCTAAAATGTGTTAATTTTTCTTTCTTTCTTGTTCTCTTAACAGCTTTCTTCTCCAGCTTCTTGTTTGTTAATGGAGTTCCGGCAGGGCAGCGGTGATTACTGCCACGCCCAACATCGCAACGCATGATCACGGGTGAATACGCCCGGAATCTGTCCCTGAATGTCCAGAGTAACGCCTTCTCTGCTCTTCTCTTGCTGGTCTTTCTGACTGACCACTTTGTTGTGCGCCAAATGGGTTAACCGGCATCGAGGCACCTGGCATTTAACTACCGGACACTTTTCCACCTGTCTAGTTGCCAGAGTATCGAGAGGAAGAAGCCAATTTGTTTGAAGAGGAAGACTCTTGTTGGCTCTAACTTCCCAGAAAGGCAGCTTTAAATTTTATATACTGATTAGAAGTGATTTATCACGAGGGATCCTACAAATCACGGACACCTTCACTGTGATCTTCTGTAGCTCTGTGGATTCTGGCCCGGACTGGGTGCTGTGTTTACTGTAGAGTGGAGGGACACCAGCATGACCAAGATGAACCGTCCGGCTCCTGTCGAGGTCTGCTACAAAAACATGCGCTTCCTTATCACGCACAACCCAACCAATGCAACGTTAAGCAGCTTCATTGAGGTGAGAGACCATTCAAACATATGCAACAGATTATTTTGAAGATATGAAAGACCATAAACATTTTTCACTAGTTACCGTGGTGTGACGTTCATTGCTGCAGATAAATGGACAGCAAGCAAGAACAAATGAAAAACATTTGTTCAAAATCCTAAATGTACTCTGTTGAGTCGAAAACTCAAAAGCTTGTTTCCTCAGGATTTGAAGAAGTATGGGGCAACAACAGTAGTGCGTGTGTGTGAAATCACCTATGATAAGACGCCACTGGAAAAGGACGGAATTACTGTCATGGTGAGATATATTTCTTTGTCATACTACAAATAAGTGTCTACTGTGAAGTTTTTTTTTTTTCAAAGTAAATGTTTCTTTGCGGCCTCCTATGCAGTAATTTCATTTTTATTTTTTGAAAACTTAGACTTAGGTTTTGAGTAATATTAAAACTAGATTGATAGACTGATAATCGCCAATAATTTTTTATATTCATGCATGCTTTTTTACACTGTTGTTGATTAATGTACAGATAAATGCCAAAATCTTGTTCCAAATTAACTTTTGGAAACATTCCACTTTGTCCTAAGTGACTTAAAATGTATTATCATTTTTTTTTATCAATATCCGAAATTAATGTGTCATAAGAATCTATCAGTCTAGTTAAAATGAATGTATTGTGTTAGTTAGAAACTATATATTGACTTTGTAATTGACTCAGTGTAATACTAGCACTGAACATTTTCTTGGCTTTTCTGCCTTTTGTTTTTAGATGCATTTTCATCTTGCGCCTTCTGTACTGTGAGTGTGTGTGTGTGTGCACTGTCACCTGAATATAATAATCCTGGACAGTTTCCTGATCATGAGTGTGTCACTCCACGCCATCTGTACTTTAATTAACACGTCTGCTTTACTGCAGCGATGCTACTGTAATTAGTGGTAGTCTAATGCAGGTTTTTGGCTTCCTCTGACATCAAGTACAGACTGTCTGAATTCATATGTAGGATGAGGTTTGTTCTGGTCAGCAGAAACCACATCTACACAGCCCTGCAGCACTTCTATATTTCTGGAACACACATGCTGTATGAATTGGCTGCCCAGTCATGTGATATGATGTCAAGTGGAGTGAGAGGAGGTTTCTTTTTTGTCTGGTGCTCTGAAGGGAGCTCTACATTTGAGGATACAATCCTATAACGTTCTGCCAAACATCATATCTTTCTCTGCCTTCACCTTTTTTTTTTTTTTAAACTACTTGAATCCATATCCACATGTGTTTTCAGTTTGGCTCGTCAACATTTCCCCGTTTCCATGGCAGCCACAGGGGAGCTTGATCTATCTCCATCTGAGCTTTTTATTAAGACTCATACACCCTTGTGCCCTTTTACTCTGTTGAACTTCTTATTAAATGATAAGATGTATACATGATGCTACATATTTAACTTTGGTTTCTAGAAGAATTCTAGAAATGTAGCTGTCTAAGGCTCCTAGATTGACCTGAGGTCATAGTGAATTTATCCAGCATTCTGGTGCATCCCAGGCTTTACTTTTAGAAACTGTAACATGCATGAGAAGCATAGCAGAAACACAGTTATGTAAATCAACTTCCTCCATGGTGCCATCAAGAGAAAAGTCAGTTTCCGCAAGAGAGAAACACTCTTAAACACAGAGCCTGTTTGAAACATTGCTGCTGTGTGTTTACATGATGTAAAGCTTCAGTCCATGGCTCTCCTTCAAAAGAGCATGGAGCTTGTTAAAAACACGAATGCGTTCATCAGGATTTAGTGCTTTTGTTTTAGACTCAGGATCAACTTGAAAAGTGTACATGGTTACTTAAAGCTGAAATGTGTACTTTCTGTATCACTAGAGTCACAAAACGGAATTTCAAAAATTATGACTATTTTCAAATGGGTTTTGCAGAATACTCCCCTGCCTGATATTGGTTGGAACAAAACTGATAGCCCTGCCCCAAAATAATGCCATTGGTTGAGCCAGTGTTGCTGTTGTCATGCTGGTCAGGATACTTAAACAAACAGAGCAATGTTTTGATTGTACCCTAGAGCCACAGTGTTTATACTTTTTTCTAGGAAATAAACTTACAAATGGCTTACTTATGCTGTCATGTAAAGAAGAAAAAACTGTAACTCAATTTTTTTAAAAAAATATATATATTTTACAGTCTTTTAGACTGTTTGGTAAAGCTATTTTCAGATTTAGAGAAAACATTTAAACTACTGCTCAAAAGTTTGAGGTAAACAAGATTAAAAGAAAATACTTTTATTCAGGAAGGATGCTTTAATTTTTTAGCAAAAGTGCAGTAAAGACCTTTATAATCTAACTAAAGATTTCAATTGCAAATAAATGCTGTTATATTAAATGTTTAAAAGTGGCCACAGTTTCCACCAAAACTTAATTAACACTGTTAATACAAAGAAATGTTTCTTGACACACCATATCAGAAGCATGATTTCTGATATGAAGGATCATGTCACAGAAGAGATTAATGGCTGCTGAAATTTGAAACATTTTTATTTTACAGTATATTCAAATAGAAAACTGTTATTTTAAATTAAAATTGAATAATATTTCACAATATATTTTCATTTTATTTTTTATCAAATAAATGCAGCTTTGGTGAGACTTCTTTCAAAGACATTAATAAATCCCCCCAAAATTAGCAACCCCTAGCTTTGGAAACTTTATTTTGTCTTTGAATGTGGTAAAGTTGTCATTGCATTTTTCAGCTGGTGTAGAAGAACGGTTTAATTTAGAAAAAATATACTTTACCTTTAAAGGTGAAATGTGTAATTGCTGCACCATTTGCATTGGCGCAAAATGGAATTGAAAGGTGTCTTCCATTGTTTAGCCAAACATCCTGCTCAAACTCTCAATATTGATATAGAATTTCATATGTCAAACGATAATTTGAATGGCATAGTATTTGCACTTCTCAACCCGTGTCAACCTGATAATCGTTCCTTTAACTTGACTCCTTTGCTCTTTGTTCTCTCTTTTTTAATTTGTGGGCTGTTTCTGCCCCAAACACACACACACACACACACACTTCTGCTCTTCATAAGAGGTGATGAGGCAATGGCTTTGCAGGGGTTCAGAATGGGATTTCCTCTACATTTCAATCAAATCCAGATGGTTTTAAACAGTCATCATCCACACTTTTACACCGTTGGATCAGAAATGTTCTTTGAACTTGATGATCCCATTTTTCTCACAGAAGTACAAAAAGTCTAAATGCATGATAAATCATAAAGTAAAAATCATACTGAAACAACCATCTAAACTGTTTTATAATTCATAAAAGATCATGAACCATGTACATGTTTAAGTTTATTTTTTATGAGAAAACAGATCTTTTGACATTTGTCTCCATTGTCCGTATCTAATTCTCCAAAGTTTAAAGGGATAGTTCCCTTTTAAATTATTTTTTGCTATGTTTTAGCTTCCCTCAAGGGCATCCAAGATGTAGGTGTCTTTGTTTCCGCAGTAGTTTCAATTTTGGTATTTTTAGGTCAAACCGTTCTTGTCTGTCAGTCAAATAATGCAGGTCTATCAAAATTGAAACTACTGCGGAAACAAAGACACCTACATCTTGGATGCCCTTGAGGTAAGCTAAAACATACCAAAAATGAATTTCATTGTGAACTATCCCTTCAAGTTTTAAAATCAAGACCCCTTTAAAGGAAGTAATGAAACTGAAGTGATGGTTGACAGCAAACAGGTGCCTCAGACCTCTCCTGCTCTCTTGTAAGCAGAGGCTCGAGTTGCTGGAGGAATAGCAGGCATCTGATTCAAGGAAAATGGCAGGGCATTTTCCACTATTAAGCCCCACACTTCTGGTTCTGGAGTCGGTGTGCCCTGGCAAGAGTACAGAGCACTTCCATCTTGGAATGGACTCCAGGGAATTAATAGCCTACTGTTGACATACCAGACAAGGAGGGGCCTATTAACCTCTTAGTGGATTAAATGTTATTTTTAAACCAGGAGATTCTCATAGACGGTCCTTGTAGAAAATGGTCTCAACCCGCTCCCTGTAAATGTCCCCTTTTCTGAGAAAGCAGCAATTCAGAACACCATGCTCTGTTTTTCAGTGTATTTTGACCCAGCTTATTTGTGTTTTTATTTAATACATCATTCATGTTCAGTCTTCCATGAAAGAAAGAAACAAGTCATTAACATCTTCATGTGAGTCAGATTGTGCCTGGACTGAATGTGTTTGTTCTGATCTGTTAATGCAATTATCAAAACTCAGAATGTTTCTCTGAAGCATAGAGAGCATGTGACAGAGCATCAAACCATCGGTCGAATCATAAAATTGTAAAGAACATAAGAAATGGACAAATTTAAACTGTTTGACTTTTTTTTCTTCTGCTGAGCATAAAGGAGACCATTTTAAGATGTATTTTTTGCAACACTTTTGTGCGAACCATCCCTTTAAATACCGTATGTAAACACTTTGATAAAACGGCTTATTGAATGCAATGTCTTCTTAGTGACAATTCCCTGTATCTCTCTTACATAATATTTCTGATGATTCAGCTCTTGCACATGGTGATAAATCGAGCTGTTAGTGACGGATCTGATTGAAGTGCTGGAGTTGACAGGACGAGTGAACGTGCCATGTTTGCCGTTGCAGAACTTGTAAAAATCACACAGGAATCATCAAAGGGATTCACAAGCTGCTGTGAATCTGAGATGCACTCTGAAGTATTATAGAGCACCACCTGCTGGTGGTGGTGACCGAATCGTTTATTTCATTCGTATCTGCTATTTTGTCTCTCTGTCTTTCCCTTTCAAGGGGAAACAGATGTATAGTTATCCATGTATATAGTCATCCATTATGTAGAGTTATCCATAGTTATAATAGATATGAACTCATCCTTCTGTTTCTCTCCCTCAGGATTGGCCATTCGATGACGGTGCACCTCCTCCTACTAAGATCGTGGATGACTGGCTTAGTCTGTTGAAGAATAAGTTCTGTGAGGATCCAGGCTGCTGTGTGGCTGTGCACTGTGTGGCCGGACTGGGCCGGTGAGTGAAGGAGAACAGCATCACATCACTTCATCCTGTTATCACAGACGTGCTGCTAAGTCCAAGGCTATAGCCACCCATGTGGTATGTTAAAAATGGAACAAATTGAACTTAATCAAACCAGTGCTGCGAACACACTGAATCAGTGTGCTTTTTTTAAATATTTTTTTGCTCTAATATTTGCTCAGTGAGGAATGATCTCAGAACAACTCACTCCTGCTTAGCGGCTAAATATTGCCCAGTTGTATCGGTTACACTCACCTTGGTAAATGTAAATGATTATTCTAATTGGAAATTGCCGGAACTTTCAAAATGCTAGAATTTTGTGAACAATTTTGGAATTTAGGCTGTTCAAATCAATGTTCTTACTATTAACTGAAATGAAAAAAAAATCAATTGAAATGAAGCTAACTAGAAATAAAACTAATAAAGTGACAAGCGCAAAAACTTTGCTAAAACTTAAAATCCAATTGAAAACATAAAAGCTAATTGAAAATAATTTTAAATACTATAATAGTATATACATAATAGTATAATAATATTGGTTCAATTGGAAACATTGATTCCATAGTCCTTGTAATTTCCCAGCCTGCAGTTGTGGCTGTTCAGAACTTGTAGACGTGCAAATGCTCATCTGAATTTGATGGGTCAGGCTTTATGTGGCTCGTTTCTCTCTCTTAAAAAAATTCTCAAACTTATCAACCCCAGTTCCCAGGATCTGTTGCTCTATTTCCTTCAGAATGCAATCATGGATTGTGTGTACTGTGTAATATCTCTGGCAGAGCTTTAAGCTGGCTTGAGTTAGTGTTGTGTTTGAGGTCTGTTTACATTTGGTTTCTCAATTTTTTTTTTTTTTTTTGCTTTACCCCAAATACCCCTCTGCGACAGGCCTCTCATTCTTGGCCCGTGTCCCCTCCAGGTCAAACCCATTCTTTCTGCCTGACCGATGTGTGCCAAAACCAACCATCCTCACAATATTAATTCATGTTTATTATTGGAGGCACAAAGGTTGACGTCCGAAGACGAAACGGGAAGCTGATGATAAGCAGCTCTTTTAATTGCTCCTCCGTATCTCTTTTCAGTATAGAACCCTGGTGTAGTGTCGGTGTTGCCCTCTTATCTTGTCAGCTGTCAAAACACACAGACTTTAATTAAGTTGCGGTGCACAAGATGTCGAGCTAGACGGTCAAATGCAGCGGTTTCTGCGGGAGTGGTAGGCTAATGACAGTCCGGTTTACCCTGCCTGCCCTCCTCCCACTTTGACCCCTGACCACTTCTGCCGACAAGTTAAGCACCAGCCTCTCTGACGTAGGTTGCAGCTCCTATGGGAGCCCTCAGCAGTTTTTGACAGGGAGCCAATGTTTGCTTTAGTAGGCTGAGTTTATTTTGTTGCACATTGGAAGGGGGCACACTCAGTGGAGACTTGAAAGCTGTACCAAACGGTAAAAATAGACAAAGTCGCTGACAGGGATGGAACACACTTAAAAATAAATAAATAAATAATAATAATAATAATAATTATTGTGTTTTAGTAAAACTGGGATTTCTCTCTGTCTCTCTCAAAAAATAAAAGATTTATAAGACTCTATAGAGGATTAGAAGGCTGCTTGAAATTCATAAACATCCAAATAAATGTCATTAAAGCGAACAGAAAATTCTTGCTTCATACTCAACCTTATGTTCCAAACCTGGATAAAAGTTGAAGAATGCATTGGTTTCCACAGCCCAAATAACCATTTATTTTCATTTTGTCTAAAAGAGCAGTCAACCATACAATAGCTTTGTGTGATGAACAGATAAGGTAAGGTAAGTAGTAGAAAAATGAATCTTGCCACTCACATAAATTGAACATACTATAACTGCAAACCTGTTCTCACATCAATTAGGTGGTATCCTTGCTGAGAAGGGTTAAATGTTCGCACACACATAAGCTGTTTGAGGTGATGCTGTTTCCTGGAATTAAACACTATCTGTGTGTGTTTATGTTGCAGGGCTCCGGTGCTGGTGGCTTTGGCACTTATAGAGAGCGGGATGAAATATGAGGATGCCATTCAGTTCATCAGACAGTGAGTATACATTACAGCTAACAAAACATCACCAACACACTGACTGTAGCAACATTAAACAATACCCAATCAATACATTGAGTGATACACTGTGTACAGTACAATCACAATACTGTAAAATATACAGCGCTGATACATGACATTTATTGTGCAGTATTAATGCATTACAGATAATTATACAGCACAAACTAATTATTGCACATCATACAGTCCAGAAATTATGCATACAATGTGCACTGATGTGTGTGTGTGTGTGTGTATATATAATTATATTGCTGGTATATATAATTTTATGATATATAGCTCCTAATAGTTTAATTTAACATAAATTAAATTGTGTGTGTGTTTACATTAAGATAACATTTTAAATAAAATTTAAATTTATCATTTTATAATAAAAAATGATATATATAATTTTATGTATATATATATATATATATATATATTTATTTCGACCTGCTATGAACTGTACTCACCGTTCAACACCTGTTTAACATCAATATCTTAGTGTATGTTCATATAGTTGTAGTAGTAGTAATAATAATTATTATTATCATTTAAAATCACTGATCTGACATTAACATAACTGATGGGTATTTGTTGTTGTTGTTTTTTTTCCACATAGAAAGCGCCGGGGCGCCATCAACAGCAAGCAGCTTACGTACTTGGAGAAGTACCGGCCCAAACAAAGACTGCGTTTCAAAGACCCACACAACCACAAAAGCAAGTGCTGCATAATGTGATCTGGTCCTACTAGCCTGCATCTGAAGGAGCAAGTCACACATGGACTAAACCGGACTTAAATTACCAACCTAGTGCATTTGAACTCTTTCTACTTTCCAGGAGGGGTATTAATCCCCTTTTGGTGTTTATGTCAGACCCCTACACACAGGGTCTTTACCAGCTCAGGGCTGTGAAAGGCGAGCCTCTTGAATTTTGTCTTTACACACAAAACCCCTATCCTCTGTGTTCACAAATGAATTGAGAACACAAACACACGCCAATGCATATTCGCATTTCGCACACACTCAATGCTACCAGCCATCACACTGTACCAGCAGCACACAATCCAAAGATGGTCATGGCCACCTGCTTCAACAAAATCACAGTTGTTATACTCGCGCTTTCGTATGAAACTGTTTGACTACCCTGTCTTTCTCTCTGTCTCTTTTGTCATTTTGAAGTGTCAGAATGCATGTTGCTCTACATTTTTGGGGATGCGAGTGAGTGATTTAACCTTGTTCTTTTTTTCTACCTTATATCATGAATCTACTCTGGGATTCGAGTTTTACACCACTGGCTCTTTATTAATAGAACTGTGGGCATCTAGATGGATAACATAGCACACTTTGACAAGACTTCCAGGTTTTTGGATGTTTTAGCTGCTTTCAGAACACTTTAAATATCCAGCTTATCTGAAACCCGGTTGTGCCGCAGAATGAACTGAGAGAAATCCACGAGTGAGCGCACTTGTAGATCTGTAGATTTGTCTTAATTTATCAGCAACCACAAGAGGGAGTCCTCACACTACATGCTTCAAATGAAAGATCTTAGCATATACGTACAGAATCTTTGAATTTCAATAGTTTTATTTATTTTTTTTGTTGTTTGCGCTCAGTGCTCACAGGTGGCTATTTCTCAAAGACATAGTTGTACTGTGGACACTTTAGAATTACAGAATGAACTTTTGAGTGAGGCTAAACCTACTTTGCGTTGGTCATATAATGGGAAATAAAATAAAAAGCAGAACTAGTGGTCAAATATACACCAACGGAGGGAAAAATTTAACGAATCTGTGTTGGTACTGAAATGATCTCACATGCTTAGTCAATCTGCTTCCATTTTGGATATGAAATGCGCATAAGACTTTGGATCTGGGATAATCTCACATTTCTCTACCTTTGAAATCAAAAGCTAGTGAAGCAAATGTTAAAGAAATATCTAATAAAAGAGCATTTTTGCATAACTGCATCTTAAAGACTATGAGAAGGATACGCAAATTGCACATATTATGGATTAAATTATTTTCCAGTTATATTCACTTAATCTCATGATTATCTACAGAAATAATAGCAGGAGAAATGTTTTACAGGAACATGCAAGCTCACTTCAATTTAGAGCTTAATACAGGACATCAGTTGTTAATCAAGTTTGCATTTCTGGTTATGACTAAAAAAGGTGTGAATATGCAAATCAGTTAAATGTTTCTGTTGCTCACATGTATAAGGGCTTCTCTTTTATACAGCCTCTTTAGTCACTTTTGTTATCTGGAATGTTTTGTAGGGTTGTTGTCTAAATAATTCTCAGAATGTCTCTGAAAATGGATATGATCAGCACACTAATAATCAAAGGAAACATTTTTTTTTCAGGTGAGTGAGGCTCAAACTACATGCCACGTCTCAGGTTTATCCTAAAACTCATTCATTCAGAGTCCTTAAGATGATGACATCATCCATAGGAATGTCCACTTTTTTAAAAACTTTTTTTCACGTGTTCACCCTTTTTCTTCTTTTCTTTTGAATAAAACAGCAGAGCTGAAGACACTACCCTTGACATTGGATGATATGAAGAGTTCAGATGCAAAAGCCTCTAAATGCCATTTAAAATTTTCTTCTTTAATGATGATTTTTATCAAACTTGTATATTTAAGTTCAGTAATTTCACTTAAATAACAATTAATAGGTAATTATCATTGCCATTTAAGTGAAATCACTGAACTTAAATATACAAGCTTGATAAAAATGATCATTCTAGAAGAAAATTTCAAATGGCACTTAGAGGCTTTTGCATCTGAACTCTTCATATAGTAACGGTGTTTGAAAATCTGATCTGATATCTATGAAGATATTACACTCTTACACCACAGTAATGTTCATTGAACCATTTGTTTTCATGATCATCTCTACAGCATTGATGTTTGACATTGATGTATTAAGTGATAAATATGAAACATTGATCCATAATTAATTATCTATTTTTCCCTGTTCATATCTACAGTGGTTGAAATGATTGTATTATTGATAAGTTTTAATACCAAAACAGAAAAGTTAAGAACTGATGTAAATATTGCTCTTTTTTAATGAAATTGGAACATATGTGAAATCTGGATTAATTAAAAATAAATAAAAACAGATTGCTCAATACCACAGTAATTTAATATCTCTTTTGATGTCATTCTGGTGTTTCTCACTATCATGTGGTTAGTTTATGTTGTACATTATATTTTATAAAACACAGTCTCTGCATATAATCACAAGATCTATACAGAGGAATAATTAACAAAGAAGGGAAATAACAATGGGGTTTTTAATGGGTATTGTAATGCTAACAGCTGTTCATGGATTTTAATTATAACTGAGGGTAATTCTACACTGATTCTCCTTGAGAACTTGCCTTCTCTTTGTTTGTCAACAAACAACATTTTGTTTGTTGTTAACTGGGAAAGGACAGCACTCATTTTTGTCTCCTCTGAAACTTACCACTAGGAAGATTAAATGTTAACTTTTTTTAGTTTTTAACTACTTAACAACTGTGCATGAAATCATAAAGTAGCCTATAGGCTATATTTATTGTGCAGATACAAATGAGCAGGATTCATTTGATTGTTCCAAATTATGGTTGCTTTAAATAAATTTGATGAATATTCAACTGAAGAAACTATGCAATGTAATAGCTTATGTCATACACACACCTAAACACTATAACAAAACATTGACAGATAGACTTTGGGGGAAAAAGGGAAAGGGAAAATTAATGCAGATTAGGCCTAGAGAATTTCTGGAAATAGCCTGCAATTAACGTTAAGTAAAGAAAGAAAGAAAGAAAAACTTCACGTCACTTTCTGTCAATCTGTATCTAGGATTCAGAGATTTTGTGGCATGCAAAATATTTACATTGCCTGAGCATTAGACAATAATATGTAACTTAGCCGCCTACAGTACACAGTAGACGTTTACTTGCAGAATGTAATGTATGTATTAGAATGAAACCGGTCTTTCTGTGCGTTATATTTTTTCCGTGACTCAAAAACTAGTGAGCTGCCTACGTATACAGCATCTAGGGACATTATATACGCATTCAACACGGTTTTGTCGAGCAGGTCGCGAGGTAATGAGACGCAGCCTTTCTTAGTGCAGCATCCGCCATATTGTCTATCAGGAGACGCCGAGAGGTAATGCAGTGTGCTTTTACGACCTACTGATATTTGTATTCTAATATGTACCGGCTTTTCGCATTATTTCAAAAAAAAGGACCGACGCGCAAGGCACTGCTCTACTAATACACGCTTGTGTGAATTTATCTCATGGTATTTGCAGGCGATACAGTTATCGCGTGCCAGTGCTAACGTTACTCGCTAACCACTTAAACCCGCCGTATTCTTTAGAAAAACCTACATAAACTGGCTGGATTGATTCCGGGTCCGATTAAGCACATATATACGCTTCTTGTATGTTTCATAGTTCTTATGACTATGAATAGGTAAGTATTTTCTTGAATGCGCTTGTTTAATCTTTTGTGCGAATGGCGTTAGCTTTGATGTGGCGTGTTGCGCCACGTTCAGCTAGCAGTATTTGTGCGATAGAACACTGTGATATGTGTCCCTGGGTTCATGTATTGGGTGAATTATGCTTCTATAATTAGTTTTAAATTGAAATTAAGTATTTGGAGTGTGAATTAGTTAAATGTGTCGTAAAATGAATTAGATATGGGTTAGGCGTGGCAAACGTTATGCTAGTTAGCGGCTAGCTGGCTAACTAACAGCTGTTAGGAAAGCTGATAATGCTATTGGGACATCTTGTAATTCTATTGCTTATATGACCCGTTTGTGGTTATTTAATAATATGTATTATATGTGGACAAAGTTGGGTATGCAGAAAAGCTGTCAAGTGAGCTACACTGATTTCTTTGGCTGTGTCACCAGGCCTGTGGCTCCAAACAAGATATTGATTTAAGGAAAAATGTACACCTATTCCTTTTAAAATGGAGGCTAACAGTTATATAGGTTAAATTTAATTTCTAGTTCGGCTTTTAATATATTCCAATGTGTTTGTTCTCCCATCACTGCTTTAATTAAGCTAATTCATGTGGTTTTAATAATTAGTAATTCATTCAGGAAGATCACACGTCTTGTCACAAACAGCGATTTGTTAGTCTAATGGCTATCTGGCAGTACAGTAACCTAGTTTGTTATTAATGGACGTTGTCCCATAAATCAGTACTTTGATACTCAGGCTGATGTTGCACAGCGGTGTCTGTAAATTTTACAACCTCCTTGTGTTTTCCAGCATCTGGAGGGCCATGAGGAAGGACTTTTAGGATTGCTGTGTCTCCTGAATAAGCTCCTGGATGTCCTCTTTCATTCGAATTGCAATCAGGTGGGTTGTTTGTGTGGCAGTGCTTGAATATAGTGAATTTCAAATGAAAGTGGTTTACTTTGAATTGATATGATCATTAGCTGTCTTAACAGGCTAATTCTATGTATTTTGTAGCCTATGCTCCACCATAAAGTCATCACATCTGCCTTCATCAGCTTCACCTGTCATTTGCTGCTTGGAGGAACCCTCCAAGGTAATAACCGACGTATATAAGTACGCTTAATACTTTTTGAAATTAATCTAGATCAGGGAGTTCCAATCTTTTAGATGCCACAGACCTCCAAATATGGTCATCCTCATGCAACGGGCCCTATTCTAAAATTTAAAAGGCATCGGTTTAGATTCTTGTATAAAGACCCAGTTTGTACTGTGGAAAAAAAAACTCAATCCTATTAATAATGTCAAAATATTACTTGGAAAAGATTTAATTTCTATTAATTATTGTACTGTGTATTTTTTTTATTCTCAATCTACTTATTTTAATGAGGTTTTTATTTATTTACCTGTTTAATTTATTTAATTTAAACTTCAATGTTTTTATATAGTTTTTCTCTAAACATTTGACCGTATCTCACTTTGAAAATCCCTGGTCTAGATCCAATTCAGAGCTTTTATTTACTGTTCTATTCAAAGCTGTTTGCATCTTCCTGATCCTCCTGTAAACTCTCAGTATTTTAAACTGTTCTCTTTCCAGGTGTTTCAGGGAATACCGTGTGTAGAATATGTCTGGCCCTGTCCCAAGTCGCTCTCGAGTTTACCCTGATGTAAACACACAGCGACCTAGAGAGTACTGGGACTATGAATCTCATGTGGTGGACTGGGGGTGTGTTCTCTTTGATTTTTTTTTTTTTTTTTTTTTTTTTAGTACTTAAAAAATGACGTGCTGTAAATAGCCAATTTTCACATTTAATTGTTATACATAGTATTTGTGCTTTTCCAAAGCCTTGGATAAAATGTGCTGCTTTAACATGCTGAAAGCATCAAACAATAATTGATAGTGTTAATCTCACATTTTATGTACTCTGTTGTATGTTTGTATTTTGCAGAAATCAGGATGACTATCAGTTAGTGCGAAAGCTTGGCCGGGGAAAATACAGTGAAGTGTTTGAAGCCATAAACATCACTAACAATGAGAAAGTAGTCGTCAAAATACTCAAGGTATCATCTGATGTTTGGTTTCACACCTCAGAGAAGATTTGACGGGAGATAAGTCAGTTAATATTTTAAGCTGTTTTTCCCCCCTTGTACGTTTTAGCCAGTGAAAAAGAAGAAAATAAAACGAGAAATAAAAATTCTGGAGAACTTGAGAGGAGGCCCCAACATCATAACGCTTTTAGACATCGTAAAGGATCCTGTGGTGAGTATTGAAATATTTAGGAGTTCTACTGTCATTGTCTCCCTAACTTTAGGACTGTGTCAGTGTGTTTTTTAACTGTGACTCTTTTTATAATGTCTTGCTGGTATTTTCTTGGAAAGTTCATTCGTTTTCAAAATATATATGCGAGTTTGTTTCTGTGCCCTCTGGTTTAAAACGCATTCTGTTTTTTTCCAATCCACAGTCCCGAACACCAGCACTGGTTTTTGAGCATGTTAACAACACAGATTTCAAGGTAAGAGATGTTTTGGTTTTTCGACCCTCCTTAGATAATTTATTTGCGTTTAATTTGAGGTTGTAGTTAACTGTTTCTTTTTCTTCACAGCAACTGTATCAAACATTATCAGACTATGACATTCGCTTCTACATGTATGAAATTCTTAAGGTGAGATGATCAACACTGCTCCTCCTGTACAAACGTGCATATTGACCTTGCCATTATTTAAGCCCACTTTTAAAGTGGGTTGTAAGAGCAATATCATGGAACATTACAAGCCAATATCTGTCTCGCTGGCTTATTTGTAATGGCAAAATAGTTTGAGTAATGCTCATAGTATTAGTAAAAATGTTCTGTTGCTGCTTTGCACTGATGTTGGATCTAATGCTTATCTTTGCTCTTTTATCGCCAGGCTCTCGACTACTGCCACAGTATGGGAATAATGCACAGAGACGTAAAACCACACAATGTTATGATTGACCATGAGCACAGAAAGGTATCACCCAAGTTAAGAATATACCCAACATTGAGCATTGCTTGTTTATTTATGTATATGTACAGCACCATTTAGAGGTTTGGGGTCAGTAGGTTTTTTTATGCATTTGAAAGTCCCATATTCTGATCAAGGCTGCATTTATTTGATCAGATGCTGTAAAAAACAGCAGTATTTTGAAATGCTGCGTTTTATATATATATATATATAAATCGATCGAAGGGCCAAGGTCCAGAATCAGCTGTTTTTCCACATGCTTAGCCTCGACCGGTGACTGGCCGGTCCGTTTTTGTTGCCAGTTTTTAAAAATTGAGTGTTCATCGGAGTGGTCCGAGATCTTTGAACTTTGTTGCACCTGAACTTGTAGTACACCAAAAAAAAAAAAAGACTGAATTCGTGGGGTTTGTGATTTATAATAAAATAGAAGCACTCCCTTCAGTCAAAAAAAATAAAAACACACAAAAAATAAAAATAAAGGCATACGACTATAGGACATGCCCAATGTAGAGCTCACATGCGCACACACACACACCTAGGAATTCCCATTAAATTAATGGGCAGTCATATAACAGGCAATTTTGTTTTTTCAAATAAGTCAGTCACAATGCAGCCTGCATTATGATAGTCATCATATAGATATTAACTGGTTTGATCTGAACACAATTTGCAATGAAGAAACAGCTCTACCCTGCCCCACACACATACCAATGCAAAATAAATGGTGAAATTATAACAGTATTTTTTAAGCTGTAACCGCGTTTCTTTTATTCTGAATTGAACAAGAAAGCATTTTCAAATAAATATTCTTTAAGTTTTTACTTGCTTTTTATATTTTCCCTACTGTCTGCTTTACTAACTTAATTACAACATGACACTTCAGTTTAAAAAATAATGCTAAAACCTTACCAAAAAATAATTTTATTGAAGAAAAGTATGTTTTTGTTTGTATTTGCTGTCAGTTATAGTTCTTGGAATCGGCCAAAAAAATGCAATCGGTGCATCTCAGCTAATATGCTGATTTGGTGCCCAAGAAACATTTATCATTGTTGAAAACAGTTGTGGTTCTTTTTATTTATTTATTTATTTTTTTGGAAACAATGGTGCTTTTACAATACTTTTATTATTAGAAAGTTCAAAAGGTCAGCATATATTTGAAAGTGTTTTGTAATGGGACGACATAAGGGTGAATATTTGATGGCAATTTTAATGTGTATGTAGATTGAGTCCAATTTTTGATTTGTTGAATATGCATTTTCCCTTTAAAGCTTCGTTTGATTGATTGGGGATTGGCTGAGTTTTACCACCCAAACCAGGAGTACAATGTCCGTGTGGCTTCCCGATATTTTAAAGGCCCTGAACTACTTGTGGACTATCAGGTTAGTCTTTTAAGATAAGGCATGTGAATAACAATTTATCAATCGGTACTACATACAATGACACAAATTATTACATATTTGTGTAGAATAATGTTTTTTTTTTTTCTGAGAAACATAGAAATCGAATGTTGCGATACGATTTGTGCACTTCTTGCATGCTATGGTGTCCATTAACAGATACTGTTGCCACACAGATATCCTTATTGTTTTTTTCCTATTAGTGTTTTTCACATTTATTGACAATTCCAGTTGATATTTTTGAGTTTGTCAAATAAATGTTTTGGTCTCTCTGCAGATGTATGACTACAGTCTGGATATGTGGAGTCTTGGATGCATGCTGGCCAGTATGATCTTCAGGAAGGAACCGTTTTTCCATGGACATGACAACTATGACCAGGTCTACCATTTATACATTTTTAGCCTCAACTTGTTTATTCTAAACAAATAGCAGTGATCTGCAGTCATTCACTTTATACCATCCATCCATCCATCCATCTTCTTCCGCTTTATCTGAGGCCGGGTCGCCTGACTGATGAATTCATAATCTTGCTTTGTTGTAGCCGTTTTTCTATAAGTATTTCATTGGAGTTTATTTAATATAATTCATGTATTTGTTTATTAATATTATTATTATTATTATTTGGTATATTTATATTTGTATTTATGTACTTATTTATTTATTTATCAGGCACCTGTCAGGTGAGGAAGAGAGATATGTTATTGTGTGTGGGCGGAAGGGGAAGTGACATGAAAGAACAGATGTTTGGTTTTGGAAAGGGTGGTTTTTCACAGTTTTTTGACCACTTCGCTAACTTGGTTTGAATTTTTCGTTTGTTGAAGTTATAAACTTAATTTAGAAATGTGTTAGAAATAAAACTTTGGAATTGAAGACTGCGTTTGGAGTGGAGTGTGTGCAAAATAATTAATCACCGTTTCCTGAATCCAAGGTCGGCATCGAAAAGCCGACACATGCTTTATTGGAAAATATACTTTTGCTCCAAACTACTTTTATAATGCTGGTTAATATCTGTTGCGAACAGTTTACTGATGTGATCTTGTTTTTCTGTTTAGTTGGTTCGGATTGCAAAGGTTCTGGGTACAGAGGACCTGTATGATTACATTGACAAATATAACATTGAGCTGGACCCACGCTTCAATGACATTTTGGGCAGGTATGAATTTAATACAGGATGGAAAGACCTTTTATCTAGTCAGTTAAAACAAGTTTTTTTTAAGTACCTCCATAGCACTTTTATTTTTAGCTATAAAACTGAAGAGTGTGTGTGTGTGTTGTCATATTTATGCTATTTTAACATCTCACTCGTGAACCCAGACACTCCCGGAAAAGATGGGAACGGTTTGTGCACAGTGAGAATCAGCACCTGGTCAGTACAGAGGCTCTGGATTTTCTGGACAAGCTGCTACGTTATGACCACCAGGCTCGACTGACTGCCCGCGAAGCCATGGACCACCCTTACTTCTGTGAGTTCCCAGAGTTTAGCACTTGACTCGAAACCTGTGAATGGCCGTTTTTGCTTGTATGTCCTTTTATATACAATTGAATAAATTAATGAATTTATTCTCCTGCATTCTTCAAAGGCATTTGATCAGTAATAAATGGTGACGTTCTGTTCATTAATTAATTTTCCTTCCTCGTGGTGATTTCATTTGGGACTTGAACCTGATTGTTGAGCTCATAAATAATGATATTAATCAGCTGTTATACAGTATCTTCAATTATTTATTTTTTTTTGTTGCAATTTTAATGAAAAAGCTATAAGAAGGGGCAGTTGTGGCCTAATGATTAGAGAGTCAGACTTGTAACCCATTCGATTCTCAATGCTGGCAGGATCGTCCCCAGGTGCTTGGCTGCCATCAGTGATTGGCTGTCCACTGCTCCGGGTGTGTGTTTCCACGGTTTGCAGTGTGTTCACTTAGTTACAGAGGACTAATACTTAGTATTTACATGTCTCCTCCTTTTGCTCATTATTTTCTTGTGAATTATCCTGGTCATTGCCAGAAAATAAGAAATAAAGAAGAAACTACATGTAAATGATCCATTACAAAACACAGTAGGGCAAATGTTGATGGAAACTTCATGTCATAATTTGTCTTCATCTTGAGATAACATGGTGTGTTTCTTTGTGTGTAGACCCCATAGTTAAAGACCAGGGCAGAGGAGCGCCGGCAGCAGGAATGGCTGCTAGTTCCACACCGGTCAGCTCTTCTAGCTTGATGGCAGGTAAACCATTTATCTTTCTCCTCTGTGCTTCATCTCTGATGGAGAATTTCATTTATTTAAATAGTCTTTTATTGAAATTGTCATTTCAAACCTGTGACTTGTTCTGCCGACCACACAAGATGTTTTGGACATAAGGGTGAATAAATGAAAATGTTAATTTTTGGGTCAAACTTTAAGTATAAATAATTCAAAATTGTTTTGAAAACTTAGCTTTTGATTTAAAAAAACTTTTGAACAGAATGTTACTAATAGAGATATTCAGACTTCGACTGTGTGCAGGAAATCAAAACACTAGGCTAAACGTGTTGGTGGCTTTCGCACTGCAGGCATCACCTCTATGACTGCGAGCACACAGCCCAACATCGCAAACATCAGCGCCGGCTCACCCGTCATCCCTGCCCCTAACACAATGGCCACACAAGTGCCCACTGCCGCTGGAGCCCAGCCCTGAACACCAACTGCCCAACCTCCTCCCTTTTTCACATCTCTCTCTCTCTCTCTCTCTCTCTCTCTCTCCCTCCGTGGGCCTGCTTGGAATTGTGAATTGGTGGGGGGGGGGGCATTGATTTCATTTGTGGTTCTTTTTATTATGTTGCAAATAACACAGAACTAATGTTAAGTTACCATTTTATTTTGTTGTTCTCCTCAGTTGTTGTTTAGGGGGATCTTGAACTCAAAGAAACTCATGATGTTTTTGCACCTGTCTGTGTGAGTTAGAAAAGCAAACGGTGTGAACTTTCACTCGCCGTTATCGTTTAGAAACACATAAATGTCCACCTGAAGAAGGATAATAAAATTAATTTTATTTGTCCCCTCTAGTGTTCTTGTACTCAAACCATTTCACTGACTTATTTTTAACTCCATTTTTTTTCTTTTTTGGGGGGTGAAGCAGGGATTTGTTTTTTTTTTTTAGTCCCTGTTTTTACAATAATCTTGATCACAAAGGTGACAAAACCTGGTGTCATATGTATTGAATTTCTGAGTGAAGATGCTTATAAGGAGTCATTTGATTTGGAAGAATATGATGAATGGGACAAGAGTAATCTGATTTGATGTTGGAGAGAGCATTTGCACCAGTGTCACGATTCCTCCCGTTACAGTGCGTTTCAGCTCTGCGTCCAGAGAATGAGGGCATGATTCAATCAAAACTACTGTAATATTTCTGATTTGTTCGATCATTGTGTATCAAAGCATTCTCTTTCCAATAATGGAAGCTCTTTCATTTCAGCTGTGCTGGTTCTGTGTATTGCAGGTGAATTGGATATGGTCCTGGATCTTGTTAAACTCTCACTAGTTGCTGTTCAAGGACTTGTACCAATTGCTGAGTAACACAATCAATAATATGCCAATTTTTGTTACCTTCAGTTCTGTTAGCGTGCCTGTTTGTGTGAGTGTGTACGTACGAGTGGACTTGTCTTTTGTTTTTAAGAAGTTTCAGACATCTGTTTGATACTAAGAATTTTTGTAAAAATTTTTTTGAGAGGTGACTGTTCAGTGAATTACACATCTCTTTCTATCCCCAAAATTAAACCAATTAAACAGGTGAAATATTGATTTAGAATTGCATGTTGTGTTTTACTGTGGTTTGCTTTGGTTGGCTGACTGAAGAACAAATGACAATATTATATGGTTTGTGCCACTCTCAAAGCATCTTGTCTAGACAAATTGAATATTTTAATACCTTAATTCTTGTTTAAGTGTTTCTTAAATTGTTCTTACTTTTGGTCTTGTCTATTAGTGAAATAATCTGATGTTGACGACTAGCTCTGTAGTGGAGACTGAACTCGTATTTGTCCTCTGCCTGTGTTCAGTGTGAAGAGTTCAAATCTAAATATTTAACTGTATTGTAAATTCATTCATTTAAAATTTTAAATAGATTCCTTTTTTGCATAGATTTTTGTTTGTTTTATAAATCACTTGAAAGAGAAAATATATTTGACATGGAAAAAAGACCATGTCACTTTGCTTTATTCAGCTGTACGTTTATTGCAGCCTTTCCAATACAGTGAATGGTATGTTTGAAGTCGGGTGCATGGTAAAACAGAGGCTACCTCACATTTCTATGGAATTCAATAAAAAAGAAAAACAGTGGTTGGCTTTCGTTGAAAACTAGGTTTAATTTTTCGCCTAAAGCTGCGCAATGTTCTTCTAGTAAGGCGAGGGACAATTTCCTTTTTTGAGAAAATTACTACAGCTGTTTTTACTACTCAACTTGTAATTTACTAGTATTGTACAATTACCAAACACGCACGCATATATATATATATATATATATATATATATAGGAAAAATAATAAAAAAAATTCGTTTAGTAACGTTACTGATTTTGCTTCAGTGTTGATCATCACTAAACATTTGTGCTTCGTTTACTGCTCATTCCCTGAGGTTTGCGATTTTAACTTATTCTTAATGACATAATTTTTCAATATTATAGTGAGTAGAATCATTACAAATAAATAGATTAATGTATAGTTAACATCATTTAAATTGCACATATAGGTTAAATTTGTTCTGAACTGAAGTGCCTGCACTGTTGTGTTTTGTTTCATTTGTCAGTTGGCTTTTGTGTGTGTGTGTGTGTGTGTGTGTGTGTGTGTGTGTGCGTGCGTGCGTGCGTGCGTGCGTGCGTGCGTGTGTGTGTGTGTGTGTGTTTTCATTTGGAGCAAAGGGTTTTTGCACGTTTGTGGCATTGCAGAATTTAGCCCTCCAACACGTTGGATATTGTTTCTTGAGCTTTTTCTGCCATCTAGTGATCATATAAGAATTTGTTTTTCGTCTTTACGATCTTTTTATATTATGTATCTCAACAAATGAGATTCTTTTTTTTACACAAGTTATTCTATAACCAATAGTTTAATATAGGTAGCCTACAGTGGGATATTAAATCGATTATATATTTTATAAATCTGCTTTATCGTTGTGTGTAGGCCTACATGCTTCCATTACTTAAGACATTTTTTCAGGGGGGTGCACAATATAGCCTAACCAAAGTTAAACCATTATTTGTTACATTTGCAGTTTAATTTTGTCATATTAAGAATAAGTAACTGTCTACATTAAATCCCAGTTTTCTGGAAAATGTTGTGATTGAAATTGTGGGTCTATGTGCCTGAGGAAGCATTCTAATAGCAACTATATCTGTATATGGCAAATTATCATAAGGTGACTTTTTTGTGTGTGTTTTAAAGAAGGGAAAAAAAGAAAAAAAAATATTTAAAAGTAAATTAATAATTTACTTTTATAAATTAATAATTTACAAAAATAATTTACTTTAAAAGTCTATGGCAAACTAAGCTGAATGAGAAGCCTTTAATCTAAAAGTTTCCTATTTCTTCACAATGGCACAAACAAAATCCTTCACTGGATCTCTGTGAAAGGAAGGAAATGCTATGGGGTAAATTCAGCATGTATCCCCTTGTTATTATAAAACACAACTGCCATTCAGAGCAAAGCGGGTCTTTTCTGGTTCATCAGTGTCTTTAACTGCTCATCTATGACCCTATTGTCCAGATCAGCAACCTGCCCTGATATAAAGCCACAAATGACACACAAGCCCTTCAGAAAGGACATCAGTACTCAATATGAAGCTGTAAGTTACCACACTACTTTCCTTTCTTCTTCTTTTTTGCGTTTATTTAGTCAAGATATGTTTAGTCAGCATTTTCCACCATAAAGTAGGGGATCCGTGTTACTAGGGCTGTTTTATGACTGCTGGTGTAAAATTAATGATATTTAACGTTCGTTCAGAGCGACAGCTCAACAATATTAAATGTGTTTATGTTTCATTTACATTGACATTTGGAAAATGTTGTAATTTTCCCTCTCGTTCTCCCCCCTGCAGGCTCAGCATCAACAGCTCCATGACTCTTCTAGTCTTTATTAATGCGGTATATTCAGCAGCTTTCAGAGGTAAACTTCATTTTATTTGTGTTACAAATATTTGAGATTTTACACAAAGTTTTCGGTTTAAGACAATATTTTAATTATGATTGTTTAGAACAACGATGTATTTGCTTTGCTTTGATTATAATCTGTTATAGTAATGCTGAAATAAATTATAATTACACAATTATTCTAATTTATAATTATATTTATTCACTTTATATTTTAGAAGGACGCGAAGATTTGTTATGTTTCTTGAATGGTGAGCATGTTTAATGAATGTATTAAATAGGCTACTTTTAAATTCATGGAAATTTTTACTTAATTATTCCCATTTTTCACAATGTCTCTTCAGATGCATTTGAAATGAATTTGCCTCCTAACCACACTGAACCAACACAGCTCTCAGGTCTGTGAATTGTTTCTTCAGTATATGACCTTTTTTTCTATTGCATGGAAGTGAAGGGAAGAGAGCTATTTATCCTCTATATATAAATGAATATAGAAAACAGTCAGTTGTGCTATTAGTTATTGGTTTCTGACCTAAGGAGCCCCTTTCCCTTAGAAATGGAACTAGCAACAGAGAAGATTCTGGATCCTGCATACCCGACAGATCCGACTGCTGGTGAGTGATTGGAGGCAACAGGGAAATCATGATCATGTATAAGAAAAAAAAACAAAAAAAAAAACGACAGGCTAATATTCAGACATGTATGTTTGTTGATTTAGGTAATAGCTGCTCTTTCCTAAATCTAACTAAATTGAGTTGGTCAAACTTAAATAAATTTCATGACACTATTTAACAGTTTCACTTTTCATAACTTTTTTTTGTTAAAATACATTTGACTTTGATGAAATCTATCTATCTATCTATCTATCTATCTATCTATCTATCTATCTATCTATCTATCTATCTATCTATCTATCTATCTATCTATCTATCTATCTATCTATCTATCTATCTATCTATCTATCTATCTATCTATCTATAGATAGATAGATAGATAAATAGATATATATATATATATATATATATATATATATATATATATATATATATATATATATATATATATATATATTATATATATATTCATGTAATGTGTCTAATAAGGTATTTTATATATTTTAGATTTTTCCATCACAACTCCAGAACCAAATTTTGGACCTGCAGGTAAATTAACAATTTGTGCTATACATTGTTTATGAACAAGCTGATAGTTGAATTTTATTTTCTCTGGATGTTTTAAAGACATATATGACCTCTCTAACATGTCTTTCCTAAGATGTTGCTGAAGAGAAATCAGTTGAGAGCAGCAACTCAGGTGATCAAAGAAAAACACATGAGAAATAAAGCTAGAGTTAATAATATTATTTAGATGTGTATTCTTTAAAACAGACAGCCGATTAGCTGAAAGAGCATCAGCAGAAGACAGCAGAGGTACAGGCCTGTATTATGCTAGTTATGCATGCATCTTATTTAGCCTGTTAGATGATCACAACATTTTCACACTTGTAAATTATCCTTATATACTCCAATCATATTTTAGGTGCAGATATGTAACTGGTTTAAAATACTGTTTGTTTCAGAGGGTGTCAACTGGAGGTTACAGCTGAGAACCGCACTTGCAGGTAAGCTTGTGTTTTTTAAAACTTCTATCGGGTATATATACTTCATCACGGACACACACCTGTCAACAGACGCCCATAAAGCATTGCAGGAGCATTATGGGAACTCAGCAGGTAAGCCACAGTTCCTGCTATTGTTTGCACACATATCTGCTGATGTGATATAATGTTAAAGATTGTTATTTTATTGCATCTGAATATAGAGAGTATGAGTATGGACAGGACTGACATGGACACAGGCTTGACTGAGAGCTCCAACAAACATATCCATAAAGCAACAGGTATGTAGCCTAGTTTTACATAAGGGATCAATCTGCTTTATCAAAAACAGGTCTTTTACATTGTGATAATATTCAACAATCTTACTGTTTTCACTGTAATTTGGTTCAAACAAATGCAGCCTTTTGAAGAGACGTCTATAAAAAACGTTTAAAATTATTACCAAACCTAAACATTTGTATGTTTTTTTCTGCTAAATGTTAGCTATAATGCTAACAGACAGATCTAAAATCCATGACTCAAATTTCCATTTCACAAGGTCTGTAAATGAGTCATGAGTTTTGGCTCACTGAATAAACTGGATATCTCTTTGTATTTTGTACTGAATATATGCATCATCTTATAATTCCGTGCAGTGATGGAGGACATAAGTAGTCAGGAAATGGACAGACCTGAGGAGAACGGGAGAAACCGGCCCACAATGATCCAGAAGTTAGAAAGACACAGTGCTGCGGACACAGACAGACAGAATCTGGACTTTATGAAAAAGATTCAAGCCATTTTTCAGATTTCTGCCAGTAGAACAAACCTCAAAAACCAGGCTGGTAAACCACATGATGCTCAGGAGAGCCACAAAAGAGCAATGGAGTTTGTGGACACCTCTGAGACCCCAGACCTTGATGCTGGCAGTGAAGAACGTGCTGGTGGTGGTCAAGGAAGATCTCAGAGACAAATCTCAGGTCAGTCCAAAATAAATCCATTTCACTGAGAAATATCCAGACAAACACTGTTAATGAGACACTCTGATTAAATAATATGCAGGAATCAAAGCAAAACTAAACTATAATGCTGCCTGGGCCACACTGGATGACAGTAGGGAATCAGTTGATCTGATGATCCCAGGATGCACAGAAACATCTGTTGAACATCCCATGGAAGAGAACAACAGTCTGAATGCCCCTAATGTGGACCAAGAGATTCAAAAGGACACAGTGAGGTATCAGAACCAGCTGAGGAAAATATGTCCCACCAAGATCGTACGAGCATCCAACAACCCAAGAGCACAGCTGGATTTAGATAGTCCAGAAAGAGTGAACAGTGAAGTTTTGGACAGCAGTGAGAGGCTAGAAGTGGCAGGTCATCTGTAGAGAATCACTTATTGTTGTAGAACATGTACTTTTTACTTTTTTATTTAGACTGTGATTTTAATGTGAGTTTGATCTGATATCATTTGCTTGTTTGTCAGTCATTGCATAAATACACAAATTAATCAGAGTTTTATGATGTGGGATGTGAATTTTATTGATATTTATGATTTTGAGACATTATTTTGACACATTTTGGTGTCATTTACAAGGGTATATCTGGTGATGCAAATTAGGCATTACCATTATCAACTCTGAGTGAACAGAGAATAAAATGTTAATGGTATTTTAAGGAGAAATTACATTTTATAACGTTTTTAAAATTAGCTGATTTCAAAAATCGATCCTAACTAAGCCTATGTCGATAGATAAATAAATAAATAAATATGCATGCATAGATAATGAAAACAAATATTAGTATTATTACTTTCATTGTTGTTCTTCTAAGGATTTACTCTTTTGAAATGTTTGCTTTTGACTAAAGAAATATTCTAAGTTTCCATTAAAGTGTAAGGTCACCAATGTTCACCTTAAAGCTACACCCCCATCTAGCGGTGAAAAGGTATATGACCATCCAGTGAACATTAGTTTCTGTTCCTCTCAATTCCGATTTCGTTTTAACTCCTACGGTGGCCAATGTAGTCCAAGATTAACCTGGCTTCCAGTTTGACCTCGTCCATGAGTGTTAGCTCAAACGTAAACATGAAAGGCAAAGCTTGAATTAACGGGTATGTCCCTCTTTGGCTAATGTAGTTTTCAACATGGAGGGGCAACATGGCAAACGACATTAGAACTTCTTACCCGTATGTATTTTCAATGGCATACTATACACTCACGAGAATACTTTATTACTTGAACGAAGTAAATATGCATTAATGAGCACATATATTTTTGAAAGAACTGAGTGTTTTTAGCTAAGAATAAACTAAAAGAGTTACACAGTGTAGCTTTAAGTAGCCATTTAAACATCCTCCATATGCAGTTAATGGCTGCTAATGTTCCATTCATTCCACTGAACTGATTTGTGTCCCACTGACAGTATTTTAAAAGATTTAAATGGCTTTTTCAGGTCAGAGGTTTAGCAACGGTGCCTTTTCTGCTAAATTTAGTCCCAGGTCGCACAGAATGGCTTGTTGCGGGTCTATCATTGATTTAACACAGCTAAATGATTAAATCTCTCAGCGTGTGGATTTAGACAGACAAATAGAGGGTATTTATCAGCTATGACAAGACAGCTCGCAGCTCTATAGACGCGATGGTGATGAGTGTGTCTAATACGTCGGCCAGATCCACCTTTCCTATCCGTTTATCAGACAGATCCTGCTGTCTTCCCCATTTATCATATAGATCTCATTCCCACTGGTGCTTATTTGTCCTACAGTGTTGATTTTGGTGGGTTTTCACAATCAATGTCCGACTGTCTGTATATGTAAGGAGCTTCAGGTATCGTTGGCTTGATGCCGTTCTGTCGGGGTCATAAATCATGCAGTCTCTTGACTGCATAGGCAGGCTTCATCAACTCTACCAGGCCTCGGAGAGTCTTTTCCAGACTCGTAATCGTGACAGAGATGTCAGCATGTCTAAGGAGATTTACAAGAGATTCTCACTCAAAGCGATTGTGAAATAACAACGCCACTCGCAGCTGCACGGCTGGTCCAGCAGGCCTATCGATCTCCGCACTGCAATATTGGGGCACATTAATCTGCAAAAAGACCATCAAATTACTACAAATCCTGTTGAATGGGAGACATGGATCATATGAAACAAAACTGTTATGAAAAGCGTTCATGTGGTCTTTCAAAGGAACATTTGGGGTTCCATACAAGTTAAAGGAGTAGTTCACTTTTTAAAAAAAATTGCTGATAACTTACTCTCCCCCATGTCATCCAAGATGTCCATGTCTTTCTTTTTTCAGTTGAAAATAAATGAAGGTTTTTGATGAAAACAGTCCAGGATTTTTCTCCATATATTGCACTTTACTGGGCACCAAACGGTTCATGGTCCAAAAGAGAGTTTCAGTGTAAACTGCAAATTGTTCAAAGGGCTTTAAACGATTCCAGACGATGAATAAGGGTCTTATCAAGCGAAACAACCGGTCATTAAAAAAAAGAACAAAGTTTAAGTTTTATAAGCTCAAATTCTCTGATGCACATTCGTGACTCTCCTGTTCAAACTCGTTCATCAAAATGAACGAATCTTTTTCCGAATCAATTTGTTCATTTCAGTTTGTTGAATCAACGAAATGACTGGAAAAAAAGATTCATTCAAATCCTGGAATGTTTTCATCAAAAACCTTAATTTCTTTTCGACTGAAGAAAGAACGACATGGATATCTTGGATGACATGAGTAAATTATCAGCAAACGTTTTTTTAAAAGCGAACTACTCCTTTAAGGTCAATCGACAGCACTTTGTGGCGTAATGTTGATTATTTCAACTCATCACTCCTTATCCTTAAGAAATTTTGGTTACATTGAGGCACTTCCAAAGTCAGAATTGTATTTGTGGTAATGAACAACATGCCACAAATGCTGTCAACTAAGTTTAACTTGTGTTGAACCCAAAATATTCCTTTAAAGAATCCTTTAAAATAATTGCAGACCTTGTAACAATGTTGAACAGATCTTGTACTCATGGCAATCAGCCAGTTTTAGGAGTCATACTGTATGTTGTCATCTTTTTCCACTTTACAGCAATAGTTCCCACGTGTGAAAGGTGACAGGGGGCAACTGATCTGACACATCAAAGCCTGTCAGTTCAGTATAACACAAACAATGGACCGGCAGATTGTACAGTGATGCAAATCTGTCACTTTTTGATATCAAGTTAATTATTTCAACACCTTCGAATACTGACACTGCTTAAGAAAAAGATGTCGACCTGTTACGCATCTTGTGTGCATTAAATATAGAGACATTTAACATCTCCAGAAAGATCTATCACTTGGATGAAGCCTTTGGGACAACACAGTGCAGCTCCAGTGTCTTGTGTCTTCACATGTATTTTATACGTGAAGCTAAACGCTATATCAGGAAAGCAGACGATTAGCAAGTAATCAATCTCTTTATAGACCAAAAATAGTCTTTAAAAAAGACATGTGGGTTTTTTTATGGGTCAAAGTTGTCAACCCTGTCCAAGAACACCAACCACGGTGCTCTACATTCTTCAGATTCCTCATTTATAGAGGTTTTGTCCTGGGATTTGAGCCCTGTAAAACCAAGTGCTTCACTGAGCACCATCAGCACATCCAGCTGGTCGTAGGCCACGTCGAATACACAGTCGTTTGAATTCCGTTTGTGTGGTTTGATACTGAATATATTTAAGTCTGATATTGAATATATTTAAGCCACAATGTAAAATAGCCCAAGTCAATATTAGTTTGTGTTTCACATTTCAGTTTAATTGGATAATTGTAGAGACCTATTTAAATCCGAGACACAACTCACCATTTTTTTTTCCGTTGAACTAAAATCAGTCAAATAAGGACATTTTCCCCTCCTGATTGTGGTTGTCTGCTTTTTGTCCCTCTGTTTTCACTGTTCTCTTTGCCACTGACTTCTCTCTCATAAATGAAAAACTTACAAAAACGCTTTTATACGCGTTATATGTAAATACGACTCAAGTATACTCCCTCAGGTTGTATTGAACGACTCAGAAGTGGTAATGGCAACTGCATGTCGGATGTTTCATGTTCTACATTTTTACATCAGCCATTTAGCCTTGCCTATAGACTACAGTGACCACATTGGACGGATAACCAGATAGGCTACATCAAAAGGGATTTTCTCGGATAGATTTTATCAAAACCCAACAAGAATAATGAGACTGTTGAAACATGAAATATGACAAAGACTTGATGGTGACAGAGCTGATGGGTTTATTGGTTATCCAATAGAGTCTCGATTACATATTTGTTAAAGACAAAACCAAATCATGAGTTTGTAAGAATGACGGAAGCCTTGTTTGAGGTCAATCCCATGATGACTGCTGGATAGCTGACCATCTGCCAATGAGTCTGGTTCCTTTCAATCCCTTGAAATCTACCGGCTCTGGGTCCAGAACCCCCAATGCAATTTGTCCTCAGACCTAACACAGAACCACACACCAGATCAGCCATGGGAGCAAATATGTGTGTGTATGTTCACCATGGAGAGCTGTTTCCGTCTATGTGGAGTGAGAGGGAACATGTGTGACCGCTCCATGTCTGGCTGCAGCCTCTGCGGGAGGAAGTGGGGTTTTATTCTGCAATGGCTTTTCCAGGCGGAACAGGGAATGGGAAGGAGATGCAGAGGGAGAAGGAAGAGAGTTGACAGAGAGTCTAATTTCATCCGATTCCACCACCTCTCAAAGAGCCTTCACACAAAAGCATGTTATTTAGGGCCTGTCGGAGTGAAATCAGTCATTTCCAGATTAAATGATGGATAAAATGAATGCATGTGTAGGGGGTATATAGGGGGTCTTGTGGGTTGGGGGTATTGTATGAAATAACTCCCAGAATCCCTCATCAGTACTTTATAGTAACTCATTGAAGGATCTGATCAATATCTTTATGTCTGGTTTATTTTTATACCCTACATCTGGGTTCAGATCTTCAGAGATATTTGCTGACTGCACACTGTTGAGTTCAGTTCCATTGTGCTTTATTGGAAATGAGGGTTTCTAGTTTTTATTTTTTGTTCAATGAAAGTCACTTTAAAATTGTCTTGGAAATGTTTGGGCCTTTTTTTTTTGCACTTTTATATTTTATTTAGACTTTCAAGTACAATCCCAATCTTTTTTTGTGTTTCCTTCATTTTATTAACTCTGGATTTGTGAAACACTTGCTTCTGAAAGATGGGTCACTACCCAGCTTTTTTGGACCGGCTTTCTCCTCAGAATCACAACTTTTAAGTACGATTTATTATTGATGTTTAAATTTTCTACCGGTTGTTTCTACATGTAGTTCTGTCTGTGTTATATATTTTGTAGGTTTCTGGCTAACCGGCTAACTCACCTTATTATTGTCTTCATCAAATAGTTCTGTAAATCAGTTGTGGGCCACTATTACCTAAAACTGTGTCCATTAATGCAGGTTGTCTCTCGTTTTTACTACTTTGAGTAATGATAAAGGATGAAGCAAGATTTGTTTTAT